GCAAAAAAGGACCGAGTAGCATGGCAATTCCCCATCATCGCGAGGATGCCGAAGGATATGTGTGGCGCCAGAGTCGATAAGCGTAGGCACCTCTGTAGGCTCAAGCGCAGCCCGCCCATCCAACGGAGTTCGCTGTGTCATTCTTAAAACGCTCACCTCCTCTGACACCTTCATCGTCTTCAGTCGCAGCTCATCAAGTTGGCGTTGCAGGCCTTCCAAGGTTGACGCAGGAGACGAAGCCGTCGTAGATCCCGGACTCATCAACGACCTCAGGGCTTGCGCTGCATCTCTCAACGCGTCCTTGACCTCCCCTGACTGGGAGCCTTGCTGACTGCCTTCCTGATTCACCGGCGACGTAGGAGCTGGTGGCTGTGGTTCCGGTTCAGCAACCATCGCTCTTGCTGCCGCTGAACCACCCTGTCCTCCATCATCCTTCGCTGTAGGCGTTGTCGGCGCACTCTTTGGCTTGGCTTTCCCTTTCGGTTTGAAAGGTGTTCCATCACCGCCCTCGTTCTTCGTGGGCATCCGCTGGCCAAGTGCCCTTCACCGCCGCAAACATAACATCTCCCTTTCTTTGACACCCCATCAAAGGAATGAACAAACTTGCAGCTTGCGCCCCTTTTGCATCCCCCAGGCTCCGTAAACCATTTGCACCTTTTTTCGCCTCCGCTTCCACTCGCTGGCGTACTTGTAGAAGTCGTCGTAGGTCCCGTTGTCGTGGATGTCCTGGGCTGTACTGGGCCACTTGGCTGAAAAGGTCGAATCTTGGGTTCCTTCAGGGGGTCAGCTGCTCCAGGTTTAGCACTCGTTGGAAGACCATTCGCAAGACTCTCCGACTCTGCGCGGAGATGCTGGTGAAGCTGTAGCGTAGTCTCCCATGTAGGACTTGTGTCCACACCCAGCCGACTCTTCACAAGCTGGGTTCTGAACATGACATCCCTGTCCTTCGCCCGCAGCTCGGAGACCACGTTGTTCAAGCCTCGGACCAACAACGATGGATCTGGTTTTTCAATACTCAGGTTGTCCACCCTCAAGAGCAATCGTTCCCACTGACGAAGAATGGTCACCAAGTCGGTAGCCGTAGAAGCCTTCGGTGGAGACACCAAATACTGCAAGATATACGCCTTTTCACTTTCACCGCCCGGCTGGTACATTGTGTAAAGTCTGAACAACAAAGCCACCGGCGACCTCGTGATTGCCCTTGCCACCATTTCTGCACGAACGACTTCTGCCATAGCCTGAAGCATCATGCCCGCTGTGCGGGCACTCAATCGAGAGTACTTCCCTTTCTCCAAGTCATCTGCAGCTGGAGGCTTCAGGGCAAGCCTCTCGTAAGGCCCCGCCGCCGCCCACATCTTGTAGCTCTGCTGGGCTCGTTCCTTTACCGTGTCCCACCACCACGAACTGCTGTCCGAGATGGTCCCTCAACGGTCCATCTATGACCTCAATCCAGTCCTGAAGCGCCACTGCACTTTCATTCCCGTTGGGGGGAGCCAGCGCCGGGAGCGTAGTCGTACCCGGTTTGCACTGCTCTGGAGATTCCTCAAGCCGTCTCATTTCAGCCTGAAGTTGCTGTACTCCTTCTGCCAACGTTTCCAACAACTTCTCGCTTGTAGACAAAGAGGACGGAGGTTGAGCAGCTCGTTGATCTTGAAGGCCTGGTTCACCGCGTGGTACAGCTGTGGCCCGCGTCTCACACCGAGTTGCGCTGATTTCTGGTCCATAGACTGTAGGAGGTCCTGCCGGTGCCTTCATCAACTCTAGGCTTCACATTTCTTCCGTCTTGGTACGGCTCAAAGCTTGCACGGTTCCCTACACTGCCACTGCGACCTTCACTTGGATCCTGATCTCCATCGTGCCCTCCAGGGTGCTGCTGAGAAGGACCACGAAGTTCACCTTGATGCTGAACACCTTCGTGCCCTCCAGGTCGTTGTTGAGGAAGTTCCGGAGGCTCACTTGGACGCTGAGCACCTTCTTGCCCTCTGCGTCGTTGTTGAGGAAGTTCTCGAGGCTCACCTGGATGCTGAGCGCCTTCGTGCCCTCCGCGTAGTTCAGCCTGCATCCTCTGTTCTGCAATCAAACGAGCCCTCTCAGACCTCAACATCTGAAGCTCCTCCCACATCTCCTCCATCTGGTAAGACTGAGCCCTCAGAAACCCATCCATTTGTCGTTGTACTTCAGCTTGTACCTCAGAAGAACCCACTGTGGAATTTCCTGTAGAGGTTCCCCCACCACGACCATAAAGCCACGGAGCCCTCTGAGGAAAACGCATCATTTGTTCCCACGCATCCCTGGAAAACAACGGCGCCTCGGACTGCTGAGCACCGCTTCCCTGACCGCGAGGAAAGTCTTCTGGCGGGGAAAACACCAGTGGCGATCCCTGGCTAGATCTGGCTCTCGCTGCTGCTTGCTGGCTTCTCGTTGGTGTGGCTGCCGGCATTGCTTGCTGATGCTGTCTTGACAAGGCGTCTGCATGTCTGGAACCCTGAGTAGGCGTCGCATTAAACCCTACTGAACCCAGCATAGACTGTCCCTGATTTGCCAAGAAGTCATTCAGCCTCGAAATCCAACGCACAACAGTCAAAGAGGACGATCCCGGTTGAACCTCCATATTTGCACTCATGCCGTGAAAGCTACCATCCTCCAAGGCCATTGTAGCTGCAACAGACGCTTGACCTCCCATTGCTGCCTGCCCAGGAACACTCTGAACAGCGCCTCGCACGGGGTCCGTAACCACACCATTGGCTAGCTCCCCAACAGCTCCATACATAGCTCCAGCCCTCCGCGGAGGTTGTCCTTGCTCAGAGGCAGCGTTTGGGCTCATCACCTGAAGAGCTTCACCCTCACGCCCTTCAGCTGAAGCATGCATAGCCCGACACCTTCGAAGTATCGTTCCAAATTTATCGGAAGATTCCCGAAGGGATCCCAGCAGCCATCAAAGCGAGCGCACGGCCCTAATCAGAACTTTTCCACAACACAACGTGTAACGAGCTTCCGTAGCGCTTCTGTGCACAGCTAAAGGACTGCTCCTACGTGTAGCGAGTTCCTTCGAACCACATGCTACGAAGATTTCAAGGTTCCTGCACAACACCAGCTCCAGCTCCACTAGTGCTGACTATACACGAGGGGCCTTCAGGAGTATTTTGCAG